GTGGCTCCTCGAGAGATTCGATTTATCCGATGAATTCTCCCGTTTATGGCCGCGATATTAAGGATCGTGGGGGTTGTCGATAATTTAACGATTGAGGACGGGTGCAAAAGTTTCGGCGGATTTCTGTAATCGCGACGGCGGTCGTTGCATTAATAGATCGTAGTTCGTGCGTGGAAAACTTTCACCCCAATATTTGAAACTTTAGTGGAAATTTTAAATTTGAATTTCGTAGACGAGGAACAGGACAATGGGGAAATTATTTATTGTGAAAAGGAGGAGGAATCTTCACAATTGGTCGATTTAAATATTCTGAATTAGCGATCTGTAAATATTTCATTTTATACGATTATTTTCGAAAAAGATGTACACTTGTTGCGCATTTTTTGCTTTTAAAGTAAAGAAAAAAATCTCCGTTAATTGGATTAAATTCCACGAGGTCGATGCTTTGTGAATAATAATTGTAGCGCTCTTCTCTTTTCTTTTCTTTTTTTTTTTTTTGGTAATCTAAAAATAAAATTGAAATTGAAATTTTTAATCTTTGCGCAGGTTACAAAAATTTTTGCAGCCATTTCAATATTTAACGCGTACGAAATAATAACGTGGCGAAATTTTCGTCGCATAACGGTTGATGCTCACCGATATTTAATATTCACCGGTGAATAAAAGATTATGACACGAGCCGCGAAACTTTGTCGCAGAATATAAAGGATCTTGCCCCTGACGGGCAACATTTCATACTTGCTAAACGTTCCACGTCGATATTTAATATTCATGAGCGTATGAAACACGTATAACTCTAAAAACGTCGAAACTTCTCCGTGAAACGAGACGTTGATACCAACGATACCAAAATCGGATCGTTGATCAATATTCATAAGCAGCGAGCAAGCGATGCTTTCTAATATAAATTGCGAGAACCTAATATAAATTTTGTATAAAATTTCATGCCAAACATTGGAAATAACAGTAGTTGAATATAGATAAAAAGTTTTCTCCTTGATATAGTTCTAGACTTTCCCAAATTTTATTTCTACAAAAAAATTCAAGAAAAAAACTTCTCCAAAGAAGCGAGAGAATCGAATAATAAATATTTCGAAATCTCCAAAGAGAAGCTGCTTGTCGACCTACCCTCTAATTAACCAGTTTATCATGGGCATCCAGAGAGACGTAACTTCTGATTGGTTGAATTGAACACGATTGCTCGTTACGTGAAGGCGACGTTCGTTTAATCCGATCATAACTATATAACGCGGCGAACAAACCCCTCGATCGATTGGAACACGTTCGTAAAATGCAAATCGGTCGATAATGTAGATCGGGATTGGCCTGGCCGACCGTATCCTCTCGCGACAAACAAATACCGGGTGGCGTAGATAAACCGCGGATAGGATGCTGATTGTTGGATATCGAGAATGGCGAAAAATACGAGGATATCGTTTTATGTTTGAAAGATTTTGCTTTAGCTAACAATTTAAAAGTTGGACGAGAGTTATTGGAAATTGGTGAATCGGGGCGAATTGGATCGAAAACGGTAATCGAAGACAGTGGAAGTGTTTAGATATTTTTCGAAATTATTGAAATAAATGTGTGTAGGGTTGATATGAAGACGAATTCCTTTTCTGTTTTTAAGTTTTACGGATTCTGAAATTCTGAAAAAAAAAAAGTTAGATTAAAATTGTGGATTGTGGAGCTGCGTAATTGAATTACAAAATTCGGTAACACGAAGATAATGGGGATATGGGTGATAAGCGTAAGCGTGGCAGAAATACAGAAATATTGAAAAATCAGAGAATAAAATATGCAAATAAAAGGTGAACGATGAATCGGCCACGGCCTGGATAAGAATCACGGCCGATTAAAATGGTAAATCGTTATCCATAAAGTTGGCCCGAATTGAACCAATAAATCGGAGATTATAAAATTACCATGTAAATTAGTGTAGGAAATTAAAGATCGAAAACTCGAATGAATGAATGAATGAATGAATGAATGAATTTAAAATTTCGAGAGAGAGAGGAAAACAAGAAAAAAAAAAGAAATCGCTCATCTCGATACGAGTCGATGCAAATCTAACCTAACTAAAATAGAAAAATAAAATAATATTACGTGCACAAGAGTCAACGAACGATGAACAAAATCTCCGTTTAATCGGGGATGGAGATCTCGTTTTCCGTGAGAACGAAATACGAGAGGAAAACGGAAGGAGGGGGGAGGGGGAAGAAAGACGGGGAGAGACGGAAGGCAAAGCAGCGGAAATGGGGGAAAAATCCGAGGAACGGTAAAAGCGCACGGTAAGAGGGATCCAGCTGATAAAGAGAAACGCCGAACCGACGAGAATTTAGCTTCTTCTAGTTACTACTTTTTTTTTCTCTTCTTTTTAATTTTACCCACCAGCGACGAAAGTACTTGTGCGAGAGATCGAGATAATCGGAAATCGACAGCGACGGTCTCTTGATTTCTTTTTATAACCATCTTTTTTTTTTCTTTTTTTTTTTCCGATCGTCCGGAAAAGTGGAGCGTTTAACGACCAAAAGAAGAAGGAGAAAAAGAAGAAAAGAAAAAAGAAAAAGAAAGAAAAATTGTTTCTTTTCGCGCCTCTCGCGATTGTTCGTCATCTTCTTTTCTATTTTTTTTTTTTTACGGGAGAAAGTTTCGAGATTGATTTTCTTTTTTTGCTTATTTACCTACACTTTGCCGGATTTTCGCATCGAAAATCGTGTCGATCGATCGCTTTTCACGTATGGATTAATGGTAAACTAAACGTTTTCTTTTTTTTTTTTTTTTTTTAAGATTGTAAGCTTTAAACGTAAGAGTTTTTCTACTTTTCGTATCGATGCAATGTAAAAGAAAAAAGAAAAAATTTAGGAAAAAAGTGAATAGAGTGATTGAAAATCGTAGGCGTGGAAACGATCGATCAGATATTTTTCATTCTTGGCCTCGAAGATGGAAAATTCTTATTGTTAAAAAAGTATCGTTTCGTTCTTGTTTTTTTTCAATATATATATATATTCTTTTGAAATTGTGAACGTCATTTCTTCGAAATTTTATAAAATTTCCGATATTTAAATTTACGCGTCGTTATCATCGTGGCCAAGGATTCAATTTGGCGGGATTTTCAAAAGGTTTCAAAAAAAAGGAGAATTCTTTTGAAGAGCCCGCATCTTTTTTTTCTCGACAGACAACGTCCAACTCATTCCTTGAATTTAGATAAGATTTCAGAAGGGAAAGAGAATCGAATCAATTTCTAAATTTGGCGAACAATAGTTTGCCTTGAGATTGTGTAAAAATTTCCAAAATAATATTTTTAACGTTAGTTTCTCCATCGCCAAATTGACGAATTGAGGATTACTCGAGAAAGAAAACGGAATATAATTGCAAGTAGCTGTACATCGTTAAATTTATATAGATTTATTTCATATTCCAAGTTTCCATAGTTTTTTCGTGAAACGTTTATTCGAAACTTGAAGACAACTAAGAAAAAGAAAGAACAAAAAGGAAGAAAAGTAATAAATTAACGATGCACAGCTGCAGTAATTTTCTCATTTGGCCGTTGATCGATGCGCAGAACATCCTCTCTCCGGTTTATCGGGGTCCTTTTTGCGCCAAATTTCGACGAAAATGAAAATTGAGAGGCTGATACCGCGAGAAATTGCATTTACCAGTCTGATTGCGCATCCATCAATGTCCTCGATCGCGAGATTCGTGCACGAGCCGCGAAATTGGCGTTGTTGGGTCTTTAACCCATTCGAGTCCATTTGTTCCTTGCTCGTCAAAAGC